GAATAATTAACAATGGGTTGATAATAAAAGAATTTGAACCATATTGTCATATATTTAAGATTCATTGTATTTATCGATACTACTAATTTAATTTCTAAAATTAAATGAAATTTAAAAAAAAAGTGTGTTGAATAAAAATAATATAAATAAATATTAAATTCTATTTAAATAATAATTAGTAGTTATATTTTTTAATCTTCACAATAATAATTAAGGAAATCGATACAATATGAGTTTATATTATATTCAGAACTTTTATTCTATTATCAATCTATAAGTCAAATATTTACATTTCATTTAAACTCGAGTATTACATAGACCTTAAAAAATATTATTTTAAAATAATCGTATGAAACTATATGAAACACTTGTGCTTTATATAATATATGTTATTCAATGTAAGTGAAATGGATTATGTGAACCGACTATTGCAGCTTTAGTACAGGATTAAAATCTACAAAATAGAATAGAATTAGATCCAACAAATTTTATAACAATGCATGGCCAGCATAATGAAGCTCATAAGTTACTTAGTGCAGCTTAATATACAGAACATGTAATAGTTACGGAGATAAAAAGAATCAATGAACTAATAATAAAATTAACGTCATCGCTTAAGTATAGTCTCTCGTCCCTCTCAAAATACTGAATTTTCTCTCCTTCCATTTCAATTTCACTTGCACCATTATCTACATAACACGAAAAAATATATAACTAAAACATATAGAAGCATAAATAAATAAACATAAAAAAAGATATATATATATAGTTCTGTATTGTATTTCCTACTTTAGGGATTTTTTTTTTTAAATACAGTTAACTTTACTTACAATAACGTATTTCTGTTAATTTTCCGATATAATTTCAACATGTAAAATGAGAATGACCGCGTACTTATTGTCTTCCATTGTCATCAAATATTGACATTTTAAAATAGATATTCATCTTTAAAAATAATTAAAAAATTTTAATATAGTTTGCTAGAACTTGAATCTATTTATTCCCGTCCCATAAAAATGTTTTTTTTTTGTTTTTTTTTTTATCAAATTCTTCATTTATATAATATTAATATTAAGATGAATTAATTATGATCATAATAATTCAGATAATTATTATATAAATTACAAAAAAAAAAGATTGCTACATACAGTTTCTATTTTTAATTTTCATAAAATATGTATAATTAAAATTATTAATTATATACAATATGTGAATTGTGCCATTATACTCTATAATAATAATAATAATAATAATAATAATAATAATAATAATAATAATAATGATAATATTTTTATTAATGTTATTATAATATTATTGTACTATATTAAGAATGTTATTTTACTCCATAATATCAATCATATTAATTTGAAATAATTAATATAACAATACTAGTTCATAAAATGAATATATATCATATTTAATTATAAATAACATCTTCATCAGTCCTGTTCCTATTAGTAAATTAAAATGTTTAAAACTTATTTATGCTCAAAATTTATAAGACATCATTTCTTTCCCTTGTCTTTTATACAATTTTAATTTGAAATCTGTGCTATAAATTACATGCAAGATTATTACAATTTTATTAGTATAATATAAGTTTCTCAGAATCTAAGAATCTAAAAATACAAATATTCTTTTAATTTGATACCTTTCTATATTACACGCCTAAAGACATTTAGAAATAAAATATTTTAAATTAAAATTTTATATTTCTTATTTTATTTTAATTCTGTTAATATTTTGTATATTTATTTGTTGCAGAGATTAATTATAATTGGAATGCATGTATGTTTATTGACTTTTGCTATTTAATGTAATAATGTACATCCATTAAATAGTTATTGAACAATTGAAATTCGATCTGTTATAATTTCTAGTTTGTTTAACAATTTCATAATCAATTAGGCATCACTTGGCAATGTTTTTACATACATTAGCTAGATTTAAATGTGAATATATTTAATTCTGGCGTCTTTAAAGAAACATAGTCTTTTTGATCTTTAACATTGTGTAAATATAAAATCATCTAATGGTTAGATGATTATATTGTATATTCTCTAATTCTTTTTTCTTTCATAAAGTAATAAAATTTTAAAAAGCACCGCACTATTTTAAATATACAATGTTACATTTTCATATCAATATTCTTTCTAATTAATATATTGAGCTTTGAATGATTTCCTATATTGATCAATGATTTTTAAATATTTATATGTTTAATTGCCACACTCGTAGAAATTGTACTTACACCGAACCTAGTCCAACCTTTTTTTATGTATAATCTTCGTTTTAATCTTTTTCAGTCAGTATTTTTTAAAATATTTTAGGCTCATTAATAACTGGATATTACATTGATTACGCATTTTATGTTGAGAGTTTATATTATTACATAACTAATTTAATCTAATACACATCGTTCTTATATTGATATTCATTACCGAATTCATCGCAATATAATATCAATTTTTATAATTACAAATCGTTTTCTACAGTACATAATGTCGTTTAGTATCTGTGTAAATAATGATAATTTTAACTTATCTGAAATAAGTTAATATTCTTAATTGAATACTTTCTTTTTTTCATTTTTACTGTGCTTATTATAAGAATATATTATTAATAAGACATTACATATAATTTCTTTTTTAAATAATGATAAACCGATAGCATGAGAATTTTTTTAATTAAAAGTTGTCTTTTAAAAAGTTAAAAATAAATCTTTCCATTCCAAATTAAAACTTTATAAAGATTTTAAATTAATTTATTGAATTATTTAATTGTATTTACAAATTATTCCTGCGAAAAAAATTTGTTTAAACATATCAAATATTAACAAATTATTCAATAATAATTTTAATGTAATTTACATTACTAATTTAGTTTTACTCATTCATTAATATTTATATTTATCTGATAAATATTCATAAAATACAAATATATTAATAATAATAAGTAGCCTATATTATAAATTATTTAAAGAATAAGGAAAAAATAAAATAAAAAGTAAAAAAGATGAATGAAATTTATTAATATAGTTTGAATTTAATAAAATACTTTAATAATTAAATGTATTATTATTCAAATGTACACAGTATAAATCAGCCTCAAGTTATGACTAGTCAAAAATTTTATATTTTTTAAATATTTTAAGTGAAATTGTAGGATTTAACTACATTAACAGTAGAATTTTTGAATATTCATTTGAATTTGAGTAAATTAAGATTTCCATGACATAGTCATTTTGATAAAACTTATTATTATTTTATATCATTCATATATCAAGCAAGGTTTGTGTGAATTATTCCTTATTTCAGAAACAATTATTATATGTGTGTATATATGTTTACTTATTTTAAAGTTAACAAAGTATTGTTTTTATTAATCAAATCTTTTAATCTGAAATTGTAAATATTAATTAATATTATTAATTGATATGACACTTTGTTCTTAGAGATCTAGAACGATAATTGGATAATAAATATATTTTCGAATGTTTGGGAGAGTAATTATTTACAAAAGTATTTGTTAATAATCTGTATCTGTATAAATAATGAAAATAATTCTAGAATAACTTGTCATAACGATATTTGAAGAACTATTCTTCAAAATTTGTATATTTTCAAAAATAGATTTTTAAAAAAAAAACATTCATTTTCAACACAGCAGACTGTATAGGAAAACAGCTTTTTGAAAACCAATCTTCATCCTTATACATATATCAGTAAATTCATTTTGTATGCAATTATGAGGTAGTATTTTTATATATCATAAGCTACTTTGAAACAATTTTGAAAAAATGTATGTTTAATGAATTTAAACGGCATTAAAATCCATTTATTGTTTTATTAAAAAATAATAAAATTATTTAAGTATTCAATGTTTATAAATACATTCTACGAGAGAATCAGTACTGTTATTATGAAACAATGAAATAACTAACTAAATAGAGCTATTGCTCTGACTAATGAATAATTATATGTTTTTAACTAAGTAATTTTGTTATTGCAAAATTATCGAAGCCATGGAAAAAATTAGATAAAATTAAAATAAATTATTTATAATTTAAATAAGAATATTGAAGATAAAGAAATTGATTTAGCTTTAAATTTATTCCACAAAGTGCACAAAAATATCTGAAATTCTACGAATGCCTAAAAAATCGTATAAAAACAATTATAACCGTACCCTACTTATATTTATATTGAAATGCGTGAATTTCGTTTAAAATTGTCGAGAGTCAGTATATTTTAATCTTTCCATTCCACTAGATATTATGCTCCCCTAAATTTCAAAATTTACATTCGGAAAATTCGGATTTCGTAGTCGTATTATAGTACCTCTTGAATATTAGGCACAAAGAAACGATATATGATATTATAATTTAAATTGAATAAAATAAAATCGCTGACTTTGTGACATCATGCAATAATAAATATCTTTTACCAAATTACAGATGTACTTCCAAATTATTTAAAGAAACGACATTAACGTCAAAATCCCGACTATATAAGCAACTGAAAATACATCAATAGTAAATAAGGGGTATTTTGCAACCCTGTGCAAGCGATAACTAACTTATTCCATTGGAATTAGAATAAAATGACGTTCTATATTGACAATGCCTGTTTACACATTGGTCTGGACACAGTCCAAATAAGATCGGCGAAATTCTCTTTTTAAACGAAGCTTTCGCACTTTATGAAATACCGAAGTCCGAGGCAACCCTGGCCATTACTCAGGCGAGTACACCGCCGTCGTGGTAACGTAAACAAAGTGTGCCCCGAGTACTTAGACCAAGCCATAAGTGCACTCCAGCCGCGCGAGTGGTCTTCGATAAGTCGCACACTAAAATACATAGTGCACATGCTCCCGGGGGAATGGTGCATGCGAGGTGTCAGGGCGGTTGCGCGGATGACGGCACGTCGGAGGGAGCGCGTAGCGTCAGCCGACGTCTGCGCCGTCGTGCTCGTCCCCGTATAAAAGCGAGGCTCGGCATCGCAACGCTTCTAGACGCGAATGAACAGTCGCGCGGACACGAAAATGTAATCGCTTGCTCGAGGCTTAAAAATCGAGACTCACACGCATGAGAATCGTGAGGCGCGCGCGCCCGCTCCGTACCGACACATTTTTAGTGCCACCTGAGGAATTGGGATATCGGTGCTTGTGGTGTCAAAATCGTATTAAAACCATAATCGTACGGCTAGATTTGACTGCTTAGCATGTAAACTAATTTGTGCTTGATGGGAAGAGACGTCATAGGAGATTTGGCTGATGATTATCATAAAGTCTTTCCGAGCTTCTTTCGTCAACGAGTCTTCGGACCACCACTTGACAAAGTAAGGATGATAAATAATATCCCCTGCCATAAATAATATCATTTACCTCCTACTTATCTCCAGATTCGTTAACATTTTCATATTTTTCCATTACTTGCGATAGATGTGTTATTATTATCATAATATGTGCACAATCTTCATAAATAGTCGAAAGATACTTAATATGTATATGTGTGTGTTGTGTGTGTGTGTGTGTGTGTGTGTGGGTGTGTGTGTGTGTGGGTGTGCTCACGCCACCTTAAAATATAGAAAATATATACATTAAAATCTATTTAAAAAATGTATACAATTTTTCAATCCATATGCGCGAAAGCACATCATTAATAATTCTAACCGGTGTCAACCGAAAAAGAGTATTTAGCATTTACCTCCCCCCCCCCTCACGCCACCTAACCAACGTCACAACACAATATATTCGGGGAATCCATTTTTTACAATTAACGAAATTAAAGAAACAGCTAGAAATTTTGTATACATACGGACAGTAGCTTAATATTATTGGATACAAGATTTTTTTTTAATGGTAGATATTTGTTTTACATGTTATTTTTTATTCTACAACTAAACTTTAAACATTTAGGAAAACCATGAAAAAAGCGCACGAACAAACACACATGTGTATTTCCAATAACTAATAACTTTCGGATCTTAATCGATTCTATTGAAACATTACAAATAATTGAATCTGGTATTAAAATTGTATCTAAATATATAATAAAAATGATGTTGTTAATAGTGTGTCAATTACATAATAAAGTAATTATTGTCTTTTGGAAAGCCACTGAAACATCATAATTACAATGTATTATGTCCACGAAGTGACGAATAAAAGAAAACTCAGTCTTACTCTCAAAGACACAACGGGCTATAACGAATAAAACAGTGATTTCACAAAATATTCTTCAGCACTCGTTCACAACGTCCTTCACAACGTTCTCCAGAAGACCTTAGCGATCTGGTTCACCGCAACAAAGGCCACCATCCTCTTCTACCCTTTCTTACTCACGTTTTGACGTCTGAGCTTGGTCCAACGTGTCGTCGCACTTCAGATGTTTCGCTCTCCCTTTTTTTTTCGACAGCGTGCATTTGGGCCGCTGCCACGTCGGGTCTCCGTTATTGATCTGAAACAGAAAGCGGGGCGCGGAAACTGACCTCACACGTTCGCATGGCCTGCGGCTTCAGGACCCCGAGTCATGTGCCTGGACACAATCTCCGATTACGTACATAAACTTTCGCGCGTTACGGTTCACTCGAGCTTTTTCAGTTACGAAGTTGCAACGCCTGTGACGCGTATGATAATCGATGATTAACTAATCGTTACTTCATAAGCTTTATTTGAGCAACTTATGCAAGCTTTTCATTATGAGCACTTTTATATAATCAAAAGCGTAGTCGACATTTCAATGAATTTATAATTAAATTTTAAGTTTTATTGGATTATCGCGATTTAATGGCCACGCTTAATTTTTCTCCTCATATTTGAAAGTTCTATTTAATCAAATCGAGAAATGCATCGTAATTGTGGTTGAAAGGAAGGAAACGAGAATTTTTATAATTCATTGGGCGAATTTTCATAGAAATAATTAAGTTTTAGTGGGTCATTGCATATTGAAATTATTTGGCATAAATTATGATTTGATGATAATGTATGCATAAGAAGCTTTATGAATTATTATTATATTTATTTCGTTAAAAAGTAGTTAAACGAGTTCGAAAATACAATGTCATTTTCACAAATAAAATTAAATGAATTTATCGTTTCTTATAAATTTATAAATTAACGATTTAATAATAGAATTTTCCTAGAATTATCAAGTATTGTGAAATATTTTCGAAAATAGCAATTACAATTATAGAATGATTAAAAATAAATTGTTAATGAATTAAAGAAACTATATCACTCAAAGGAATAACAATTTTGAATTTAATATTTTTAATATTTTTGAAGATTATTTCTTTCAATCGGTATATATATATATATATATATATATATATATATATATATATATATATATTCAAAATAATAATACCGTATATTTAAATGCTGTTCATTTTCGACTTTACTAGAAATAAGTTTTTTAGTGGACTAATAAATTCTACTGTAACTGAAACCAAAGAACGAATTATGCCTTTTTATGTAACAATATTCGTATATATGCGTATACTTGATTATAGTTAATTTAACCCTTATGTAGAAGAGCATACTTAAAAATTTCGGTCTTATAGTAGTTTTAATTACACAACAACATTAAACTTCAGAACATCTCCTGAAAGTTTGAAAAAAAAAACGCTTCTCTCAGCAAAATTCAAACAAAATTTATCATTAGCTTATTGATTAACATATAAAGATATCATTTGCTACTATTCATCTTATTAATGCACTTACGATTATGCGCGTAACTCATCTTGGTCACAATTACATTTCAATATGAGAACTAGTCAAAGTAAATCCAATCGTCATATTTACAGACGAAGTCACGCTTTGGCACATCGCCAAACTTTGGCGTGACTGCCAAACAAATTATCGATCGATGCTGACTCTTTTTGTGTATGCGCCTAATCACATAGTAATTCCCTTGTGATTTTACAAGGACAATAGTGTTAGAGAATGGATTCTAAGGGATGATATGGCTCAATATCTATGAAAATAAATTGACAAGAAGATTTTAGGCTGTCTGGTTGATTTATATTCTTTATGGATGAAATTAATCTAGATAATAAGTTGCTTTAGTTCGCAGCTTTTAGAGCGAATTTTTCAAATTTATTAAACTAGTCGGAATTTTAGACATTTGTGTCGATTTACATATTATAAAATAACATATTTACAAGCTCTTTTTAAAAGAATAATAGATATTTACTGTTCTACGAGAATACAATAATACTAATTTTTATGGGATAAATTTGAAGTTGGTATTTGAAGTTGAAGTAAATTATCAGCAACATTAATTTGTAATAAAAATAAAAAATTTATAAACAAACTGTACAAAAAATAATTAATTATATTTGATTTTCCTTTAGCGAGTGAAGAACGCTTGCAATCATGACTATTATTAATAGATTGCAAAATATGAAGATAAAATCTTAAAAAGATTTAAATAAGAGAAAATTTAAGTATTAATTTTTTAATGGTTTTTGTTAAAGATTTACAAGTTTATTTCTATGTGATTAGTGGCAAACAGCTTAGTAGATCATAAGTCGACATTCGTGCCTTAGTATATTATTAATACGATTGACATTAATATCCCTGCATAGCACTTATGTTATTTTCGTACATCAAATTTAGCATGAATCTTCACGATGTTTACGTCATTTTGTTCACTAAGTAAGAGGTTTCATACGAGTTCACAGAGCCTTTTGGCACGAAAATGATGAAAATACGTTGCAATAGTTGGTATATTGCTATTAAATTGCTACATAGGCGATTGAAGTTCTAACACATCATCTAAAAGTCTGAGAGAAATTATGCATTTCAAAAGATAGTATAACTTTTATTAGATATCGTAACTATGCTATATATACATAAAACTCGTAAATCAAACTTTATGAGATTTCATTAAGTTAGACGAATTTCATTAGAAACTGAATTAGGTTAAACCGTTAGCGATTTCCAAATATTTTGCATTGACTTCCATAATAAACAAATAAAATTGGCTATATTTTTTATTAATAAATATTGAAAATGATTTTTTATAGGCTATAAATGATCATATTATTTATTAGAAATTTTTCGTTGTTTAATTTTATCTTTGATTTCTTAGATGTTATATGAAAATGTTCTTACATTTACATCTACAGTCCTATACACGACCACAAGTATAAGTTTAGCCAAAAAGTAAAAATGATTCTAATCTAAATAGAAAAATAAAATTTGGAAATTCTTATTGATTCACTGATTACATTTTCTCTTACTTTATACGTGTGTACGTTATATATATATATATATATATATATATAAGCACACACTGATTAATGTTTCCATTATTTCATCATTTTTGTTTTTGTCTGCCTCTTTGTTTTCTTTCGAATAAAATCTGATCATTTGCGGCATATCGATTTCACTAGTAATTTATTATTAATTCTTAAATATCTAAGTAAATTTAATTTATATGTAATAGAGCTTTGCATTAAAATACTCTAATTGCAGTTACAATCAGTTATAAACAATTTTAAAAATAATTATTTTTATCCAGAATAAGAACGAAAAAGAATGAGAGAATACAAAGAGGTCGTAAGGATGACAAGTCGAAAATTGTAATATATATATATATATATATATATATATTATATAAATACTTAAATGAATAACGATTTATCCAATAAAAATTCCGTCCAATCGACGACATTCAAATATTGCGATGTACATAAGATGCGCCTGTATTTCCTTACATAAGTAAATTGTGTATGTCTAAAATAACTGTAAGAAGTACATTGAATTAATGTTTATTATTCTCTTGATCCAATTACTGCATGCATGTTTTTGCGCTTATTATATTATATTATTTAGTGAGCGCAATTGTAGATAAATATATCATGTTTTTTTTAGTTTTAGGTTGTTAGCTACTGAAATAACAAAAACAGTTTTATGTCAATAAATTGATGTCAATTAAAAAATTATTTATAATTATGGGAACTTTTTTGGTTTAATGAAAATTAATAAAAATTTTCCAAATATTTTAAATTTAAGCACAAGATCTACTTTCACAGTCTCTTATATTTGTAAAAAATTATAAATATATATATATATATATTATATATCTGCAGCAACGATTATAATATCAATATGTTCATAAATTAAAAATAATTATAAATATAATATTAGTCTGATATAGTAAAATATAATTTTCTTTCAAAGGTTTGTTCTTTTTATTCAATTTGTAATTTATTTAAAATTTAATTTAATAATTATAATAATTTAATTTTATGATATAAATACAATAACTTATTGATTTTTTAGGCGTACTAGATTATTTTTACCTACCTTATAATTAATTTGACATTATCCTTATCATATTTCATCTCATCTGCTTCTATATCTCGATTCTTTTTCTAATTATTATTAACATTATTAATAGTTTGCGTTTATTTTAAATTTCAGATGAAACTACATGAAAAGAAAGAGTCAGGTATCCACAAGATACAGGAAGTAACTTTGGATGAACTCGATTTAACGAAAGAATACAATATAGAAAAAAACTTGGGTGAAGGTAGTTTTGCCAAGGTTCTATTAGCTACACACCGACGAACACAAACACGAGTAGTTCTAAAGGCAGTTCATCAAGAGCTTACAACCGAAAAAGATTTCTTTCGCGAGTTTCACTATTCCTATCACCTCAGTCCTCATCCCAATATATTGTGCTCATATGCGGTTGCCTTCAAGGCAGAAAACTGTTACGTCTTTGCACAGGAATACGCTCCTTTCGGCGATCTCGCGGGTAATGTCAAGGCAGGTGGTTTAAATGAGGATATTTGTAAAAAAATCGCGGCACAATTATCTTCAGCTTTAGACTTTTTACACTCCAAGCAATTGGCTCATCGAGATGTTAAACTCGAGAATATCTTGGTTTTTGCCCAAGATATGTCGAAGATCAAACTTTGCGATTTTGGCTCTATGAAACACGAAGGGACTTTAGTCAACAAGATTAGATGTACATGGGTTCCATTTTTACCCCCGGAAATTCACGAAATCATTAAAAATGAGAGGTACACGTGTAAAAGGAGCGCCGACTGCTGGCAGTTTGGCATAGTCCTTTTTGTTTGCTTGACTGGTAATCCACCCTGGCAAAGCGCCGATCTTATTCAAGATCCTGACTACTCGGCTTTTCAGCGTTGGCTGAAACGCCGCACAACTAAGATTCCTTTAAACTTCAGACGATTTACTCCGAGGTTACTACGTTATTTTAGGCGAATATTTGAGCATAAACCGGAAAAACGACCTCTCATTGTCGAGATCAATAAGTACTTGAAAGATACGTGGTGCGTCAGCAAACTTAGTCATAGTGCAACGTCAACGTCGGTCGATGTATCAGAAAATTTTGCTAAGCGACCCGACAGCTTACTTTATCTAGATACTATCGTCGATGATCGCAATAAGTTCGATGAAAATAAGAACAAGCTGAGAAAATTATTGAATAGTTACGGATTAGAAACAACGGTCGATCAAAAAGATATGACTAAGAGAATTTGGGAGTGGGTGATGCAGTGTGATTCGAACATTGGAGATTCGGGACTACTTTCTAATAATTTTGGAAGCGGATCCATGTGAGACTCGATCAGGTCATCCAGTGAACCGTGTCTAAAAGGTACTCCGAAGAGTCGGAAGTTAAGCTGCATTGATTTCGGCCTACAAACATAATTTGTAAGAGTATCTCAAAGAATGTGCCAATTGTTAAGATGTAAGTTGCCAAAGAAATAATATGTGACGTAATGTAAATTGGCGGAGGCAAAAGTTCAACGTCGTGATTACGATTTATATGAATTGAATGACTTAATAATATAATTTAGTATAAAATTCTCAAGCTGAACTTTAATGAAGTTAATTCGAATCCAGTGACTAGTGAGAGAGAAAGAAGTCTTTCTTTTGTCTTTTAAAAAGAATCACACAATTCTATTAGTTCGTAAGTGCCTCGATATGCGTAGCTAACAAACTGCTAAACAGTTAATTACGTGAAGAAGAGACAATAAACGCTTCAACGTAAATTATTCAATTATTCATGCAGTTATAGTCGGTGAACATATTTATATTAGAATTACTTAGTATCGTATTATTTAATTGACGTTGTTAACAATGATAATTTAAAATTTAGTAAGAACATTTCAGAAACCTTAAAGTACATTTAATACGATTAAAATTGTGTTTAAAATTTCTTTAAATTTTCTTCAAATATTATTCCGAATGTCCGATAATGTCATTTCTTAAAGGAAATAAATATTGAAAGTACGAAAACTGCCAAGGATAAAATAAAAAATATAAATGTTTAACTAACATAAAAATCTTAAATTTTTTTTAGTGAAGTTAGTGACTATTTTAAATAATAATACGCATTGTATGTATACAATATACGTATTCATCATAGAAATTTATATAAAATGGAAATTCTTTCGAACTGACTTTCATAATAGACTTTATAATCTATTAAATAAAATTTAAGATTTACGCTACGTAATAGATTTATTTATAATGTGAATTGAAAAACCTTATGTAAAAAATATTTAGAAAATTCTAAATGTCGGTAAAAGTGAAACAAAAATATGTGTGATAATTTGATTTTTAGTTATTCGTTTGCACCATCCTGTGGGTCCAAGATTATTAAATAGGGTGCTTCAATAACACTGATAAATCTTTTCTAATAATCGTAAAAGTAGTATATAAGCATGAGTAATTTATAGATTCGTGTAATATGAAGTTTCGACATTTGCTTTTTATTTTAAAAAACGGCAAAATTGTATTTCTATTGTATTTGTACTAATCGTAGAACCTTATGTACATTTTAAGAAATGTACAATACAATACACGCATAATTTTTCTTTATATATTTTTACAATAAAGACATACTGCTACTAAAAATAATTATTAATCTGTATACATTAATGAAGAAAATATTAAATGAAAATATTTCAATAAAAAAAAGTTTTACCAAAATATGTAAAAGTATTCCATTTTCTGGGATATGTAGATCTCATTAATATTCTTTATTTATAAACTATTTGATTTTATAAAAATAAAAGTCAATAATAAACAATCATAAAAATGTAATAAATAATAATTGCTAAAATGTGCATTAATACTTTATACATATAACATTGACATATAATTTTTTCTTGGTTCATGGCATAAATTCACCTCGATTAATGGTAATTAATAATAATTATAAAAGTACATATTATGCTTTCATTATGCGCGAAAGTAGAATTTTTCAAACATCACAGTATAGAGAGCAATCATACTTTAAATACAATTGGACATTGAGGACATTAATCGGACTCGACACATAATTATTATTATAACTATTTTCTTGTATGAAATATCGGAGATTGTGATACACTGATACGTATGCGTGTATTATAAATATGATTATATTTCATTTTCTTATAAATTATAAATCATTTTTCAGGCGACGAAATATCATCAAGAGACATGCAGTGTTGTAAAGCGCAATATTCGAGTAGTAAATGAATTATATTGTCTTCGTGTCCGGGAAGCGCTTCTTTATTTGATAATTCAAATAATAAAAACGTTACCGCTTGTTATTTATGTTATACATGTTGTAATTATATTAAGAGAGAATAGTACTTCAATAAGTATACAATTCAATAAAAGTTGATCACTCAAAATTGTATGTTAGACCAATTTATCGATCTATTTAATTATTAGCTTTTAAAGTCTAGTTATTGACGTACATATAAATTTTTACCTTTGTACGTTTCCAATTAAAACATAGTTACACAAGAATATACAATACCTTTGGGATCTCAGAAGATATATCACTTTATTTTTACGTCAAGATTATTTATGTTATATATATATATACATTATATCAGTGTACATAGTAAGAGATGATATATATATGAATATAAATAAAAAAATCAAAGAACACGAATTACTATAGTGTTATACAAATTAGATTAACAAAATATGACCTTTTGTATATAGACAAAATAAATGTCGATATTCTATGAAAATTGGATTTCTTTGTCTACATCTATACGTAAATAAAACAAAACCTATCCTCAATCCTTAAAGAATAAACAAAGAATAATAATAAGAGTTATAAAAATATAAGATTATTATAATATAAATGTAAATACGAATATAGATGAGATCTGATGAATCTGATATATGAAAATTTTTTTTTATTAGCATAGTATATATATGATGTATAAAACTTGCATAAAAAAGTCGATAAAAGCAAAAAGTATATCGCAAAATCCAATAAGTAGTCATTATTAGATTTTACATGAAGCTTGTTTTTATTCTTGTTTAGTTGTAATCTATTTTGAAAGTCCATTTTGTATATGTAGAAAGTTTAGAGTAATTTTATGATTCTATTCATATATTATTTATCGTATATCCTCGTCAATATTCTCATTAGTAAATTCTCATTTACAATATAATATAATCTAATTTATGAAAGTGTTATTTTTAGTAAAAATTTTATTACAATTATGCTTTCAGTGTGGTTCGTCTTTAATATTTGTTATTTTTTATCGAATTCTATTTGTATACTCTTTTCTTTCTCATTAATATCTCTTTTCATTATTATGTTATTTATCTACCTTACGTAGATTGTTAAATAATATTTATCTATGTTTTTTTTTAAACTTGATTTTAGATTAATTTATTTTGGATGAATTGATTTTAGATGTTTTTGTAAATTCTTTATTAGCGATGCAGTGATATAAAGTATTTATCATCATAAAAAATATTTAGATGTATGCGTTAAGATTATGCTTTTATTACAATCAAAATTTTATCTAACCATGGCAATTTACTATATGCTCATTTAAATGCATATTTTCTGTAATTTCTTCTAATTATTTCAAGCATTTCAAAACGAAAGAATATTTCTTTAGAATCGATATGCTATTATTATCAAAGCCTTAGATAGTATATAGAAAATTCAAACTTTATTGCTGAATTTTAGTTATATTTAATATATACAGATAATAATGTTGTACCATGAATTAAATAATTAGGTCATATCCAATTTATATTTATTTTAAAATATAAGACAAGCCTAATGTTTTGATTGACAATTCGAATGATATAAATCTTATTAATAGATGATATTAATTTTTTTTATAAAGTAATATTAAATATAGATTAGCGTTTGAATGAGTAAAAAATTCTTATATTCTTATTTTTTCAAAAGCATATTATTATTTATGCTTTTATGCTTAAAGCTACTTTATAAAAATTAAAATTATCAATATACAATACAACATACTTAATGTTATATTTGCAAAATCCATATTTTATAAATATGGAAAAACAGTTTAAGAGGATTTAACTAATATAATAATATTAGTTGAAATATTTTCTGCACTTAGCAACTTTGAAATGCTTTACAAAATAAAAAAACTACCAAATTATTTATAATCATTCATAATATTCTACATACAAAATAAACAAATATTTTATATATAATAAACAATTTGTTTAATGTTTAATTACTAAATTTAGATTAGTTATGCGACTACCTTAAATAGCAGTGTAAATAGGGTAAGGTGATGTAAAAAAGTTTTATAATTTAAAAATATTACTTCAAAAAATTTAGACGTCTAAATTTTAAAAATACGTATGCCAAACATGATGTACATTTATCAATTAATATAAAAAATATATATTTAGTTTATGGATAAAATAGAAAAAATATTAAATATTATTCTTTTATATTAAATTGCTATAATAGTAATCCTGTATAACAAAACTAATATAAAAAAGGCACATACACGTACCCATTCACAGTATCAATAGTGTTAATGAATGTAAAACTAATTGTTGTATACTCTATGAGAATATTGAGATATCAGTTGACTAAAATAATACATAAAAAGAAACAAATCTAACATCACCAAAACTCTAAAAAATTTATGTTTATTATTTACGTTTATTATTTTATTTAATGCTTCAAACTATATGTACAATAAGTTGAGTGTTTATTCACATATAACTAAAATCACGAAAGCAAAAATATTATTGTATGTAATGTATCTTGGCGCTATTTTAAAAAATTTATTTTTGCCTCATTTTTAACTAAAATAAAACTTAAATCTATTACTAACATCATAAAATAAAACAACCATTGGAATTGTTCTTAAAGAATATGAAATGTAGATGAAATATTAATACAGCATCATCACAATACTGTAAAATAATTAAATATGAGATCAATTTTCTACTTACTATTTCTTCCTTTCTTTATATAGTTGCTTATTCATATTTTATTTAAATAATAACAAAGTACGAATTTAAAATTAAAAATAATTTTTTTATTAAATAATAACTATAATTTCTTTCAAATATATATGTAATTGAACAAATATATTATAGCAAAATAATGAGAATTTAAAATTAAAACACTTGAATTTTAAGTACGATACTATTGATTATGTCTTGTAATTAATATCAAGTTGAAATTTACGTAAAATTAATAATTGAAAGAATTAAGCTGAAAATGATGAACATGGGCAGAAAATTATTTTTCGAATTGTGTATTTAATAAAAGATTAGATATGATATAATTCCTGATTGCATTGGCTACTTATTAAAATAATCCAAATATATTTTATCAGTAGTTATCTGCGTTAGCACTATTAATTAAATTAATATTAGAAAAATATTTCTTTCAGTTTTTATTACTATATAGGTTGTTCTTTTTGATTGGAGTAAATTTATTTTAAAAGAATTATAATCTATAGTCATGTTTCATTAAACGTTTAAATTAAATTAAAAATTTTAATTTAGCAATGAATAATTATAAAATTATTTCTGTAATTGATCAATAGTGAATAAGATATTAGTGGTGACTCTTAATCATATTATAAAAATATAATATACATTTATAAGATCACACAATTTAATTTACGTATTCTTGTCAGTAAATAGCGACAATTATGGATATAATAAGAGTGAACTCCGAATACGTATATAAATAAATCTGGATTATATGTTATTCTATTCAATTTCCGTACGTTACTTATTTAGCCACATTAAAAAAATCCTTATATTTTACCATTAAATTTGTTTAAGTATTTGCAAGATACTATATATCGGACAATCATTGAAAATTTACAATCACTCTTGTGAGTATGTCAATTTTTATGGAAATCGGTACAATTTGCAAAATAAATTAGTTAAATTACTTATCGACTTTCGTGACATAAAATGTAAATGTTAAGCTGATTTTTGCATAGATAGATTGTATTCACAAATAAATAGCAAATAATAAAGAGGTATATCGAGAAATATAAAAATATTTCAAAAGTACTATATAAAAATCTCAATTATTGTGAGAAATGAACAAAAAATGAATTGATTTTGAGTTTTATGAAAATTTAAGTATTTTTTACATCAGATTAATACTCATATTTTCTGCCTTTATATACACGGTAATTCATATACAAATATATTTGTTATTAAATACAAAATTTCAGTTTACACTTTCAAAATTCATAGCTGTTAAAATTAGGTCATGATACGTGAAAAAATTAATAGTTTAAATTTTTAAGTTTCCACTTGAAAAATTTCTTCTTTTGAAAAATTGATTTTTATAAAGTTTGTAGAAATATACTATTGTTCGAAAGTATAAATTTTCAAATATTGAACTGGTACTTAATATTTATTTTAAATGTTTGAAACGGTTTAACTAAAAATTCATTGTCGAAATAAAATTCTTATTTCGATGGCTATTTATAAAAATTCGATGCTCTCTACAAATACGGGTGGAATACTTCAGTCATATATCTGTGACTAGAAATATAATAACATTTTGATTTATTTTTAACGGTGAGCAAATGTAATTCTAAACACAGTTTCATAAAACTTAAGAATACTTCGCATTTAACATGAGGTATCTTTGATATATACATAAATATATACATACATACATATATATATATATATATATATATATATATATACACGGGTGTGCGTGCGTGCGTATTATAATACTTTCGATAGCGCAAGTAAATTGCATATGTACAAAATTGTAAAATGTTATATTAATTACTGAAAATTTATATAACCATGTTTTATTTTTAAATTTAGTAAATATAGCAAAAAATTATAAAATAATAAAAAATAATTGCAAAATGTGTAGTGAAATAATATAATAATGGTTTAATTAATTATTGAAAGAAGCTGTCAAACTTTTCTATAGCTTAACTTGTAAAAATACTCAACCTTAGCGCCTATTGATGATATGAAAAGAAAATGTTAGCAAGACATCATTATTCTGTACAATAGATACTAAAAAAAAATATTTTTATCACGGGTTTCATTACTTATTGAGCTTGCAGACAAAATAAACAATGCACATGTTCGACACGAATTCGTGTCAAACGCTCGCTCATCCCCTCTTGTGTCCGATCTCTGAAGGGAGAGTCGAGGAAAAGTCACGTGCCTCTGCTCGCCAGCCAGCACGACGTCGCGAGAATTCGCACTCTGCAAAAAAGATACAGTCGACCTCTACCTACCAAAGTGCTCCTTCCAAACCACGAGACGCTAGATTTCATGAGCCGGGCAGCCTGTATATACGCGAATGCGCGTATTTTAAGTCGGCAACCGACTATTCTCGGACCACCCGCGATATTGTTAGCGAATTGACCCCCTCTTGAAGTGAGGAAAGGCGCGAAAGACAGATCGATGGGTTTCGGCAGAATTCCAATAAATTCGTGATTGACTATGCTAAGGGGCGGGGGAGGGCAGGTATATTGACGTGAAATACTTATTAGAATTTGCAAATTTAAGTAAGCCTCATCGTATGCTTATTTCTATCATCCATTACA